TGATGATGATGATGATGATGATGATGATGATGATGATGATGATGATGATGATGATGATGATGATGATGATGATGAGAATGATGATGATGATGATGATGATGATGATGATGATGATGATGATGATGATGATGATGATGATGATGATGATGATGATGATATGATGATGATGATGATGATGATGATGATGATGATGATGATGATGATGATGATGATGATGATGATGATGATGATGATGATTGATGATGATGACCTGGCAGTATCCCAGCCCTCTTGCTACCTTCGGGTGGCATGGTAGTTGAGCACAATATCTTGAGAACAATATCTTTCTTTCTTTTCTGTGTAGTTATCTGCACCCTTCGGCATTTTTGCTGATTATTTTATCCCTTTTTCGAAACAGGAAACGTGGTGGGTTTTATTGCTTGGTCTGTTACGTATCCTGGATAGAGGCCACATGAGTCTGATGACGGTTTAGTATGCATACCATAGGACTTTTGAGGTCCTACATAATACCGGCAACTGTCAGTTCTATTCTGGCCCAGTAACTCATTGTTACTAGAGACATCCGATCAAATTTTAAGCAAATTTCGGCGTACAAATTCACTGCCCTTACTAACACCAACAACTTCACTTCGTGGAGTCCTTTAACAGTTTTTATCCCTTCACTACAGTATACATGCGATGAGTTGTGAATTCTTCAAATTTGACGCCAATTTCATCGTTCAACCCGACCTCGGAAGCATGCAGTCTTGATGGGTTTATTATTCTTGCTTCTACCACCTGCGGAGAAGCTTTACAGTTAACTTGACTTTACCCTTTCGGCACTGGCATGTATGCAGCCTGGACCTACCTAGTAGTGAGTACTCTTCGGCTCTACTGTACGCAGCAAGTGAAACCAATAAAATTACTCGACGGCTTATATGCCCTTTTTTCGCGTAGGTCTTGTTGGTATAGAGGCTCAGATACTACCAAGGTGGCCGAACCTCACCAGTCAGACAATGAGTGTCCTCAGCCGAAGCTCTTAGCTCAAAAACCGAATTGCAAGCTAGCTGCATAAGGCTACCACTTCCGTCAGACTTCTTTGTTGATCCAGCTAGCATGGATACCCGTCACAACTGCCTGTACTGCTCGATGGTTTATTGATTGGCAAACTGCTTCACTACTGAAGGGTCCTGTCTGCCATCCACACGATAATACACCTCTCACTAATTTTTACATCACTTATCGACCACTTGCATGTCTTTCTTAACTGTTCAACCTTCTCCACAGGCTCATGGATTTGGGCAGATTGTCCGCTGAAGAGAGACTAAAGATTTGCCGGATCTACTTTTTTGGTACGTCTTCGAGTTGATCAAGCGCTTACTCTCACAAGCTGGACTTCCTTGTCTCCCGTTTCTCTGGCTCATTAACATCGTTTGCTTCTTTCGAGAATTATTTCCACTGCAGTCGCTTTCACGACCAAGACTGATACAAAAATGTGAGTGTTACAGTCTTCTGGTATTATGTCCAATTTTTCTTTTAGACGTGCTTCTTAGTCTAATTGGAACGGCTATTTGGACAATCTCTCTTGTTGCTTGGATTACAACATATTACACCAAGCGGATTGTTTGGGGCGATTTCGGGGATCGAATATCATTCAATATTCCTCCGGGTCGCCTTTAGTAGAAAATGAAAACAAAAGATGCCAAACCGGGGCGGGTGTGGGAGATATCTGAACTGCTTGCTGAAGAGGACCATCTGAGTCAGCAAGTCAAAGAATACTTCTCTCCTACAGGCTTCCATCATATTTTCATCTCTGCCAAATCCAGCATGATCGTATGTAGTTGTACACTGTATTTAACATTCTGGTCGTGCACCATAGGCTCAAACACTTTACATAGGTCGTCGTTTGGATCGTCTACTTCATCGGTACCACAGTATGTCGCAAACCGGCCTCGCTAAGAATCCCGGTGAACTCTGGTTGCATGGGATTGGTCCACGAGCTATTGAACGTTGTGTTGACCTGGCATTGCATCTGGAAAACCGCCTTTACCCCGGTCACATTTCGACCTCTGTCCGAACGAGTACTTGTGCAACAATTCGCCAGGTGGGTGAACGTTTGCGTTTGTCCCCTTGCTACGCTGTTCCTCCCTCCTCATTGGTGTGATGAGTTTAACATCACATATCCATTGTCTTACCCTTGAATGAACATTTCTCGTTGGTGGGTTGTTTATCCTAATACTAACGCTTCTGTTAGTCTCCAACCCATCAATTCAATATTTTGGCACCCACACTAGCCGACAAGAGCCGTTAATTGACACTCAACACTGATATAGTTTGAAGAGGACGTACTGATTGGTTCCCCGTCTGTCTTATAACTCGGCCAATTTGGTGACCTGTTCACTGGGCCTGATGAAGCTTTTGTGTCAGAATCGAAACGTTGCCCAAATAAAAACTACTGATTATTTACCAAGCTCTTCTGAAACGCTTCTATTAGTCCTTCAGCCATTCGGCCAATTAAACCAGGAACACTAGCCGACAAGAGCCGTTAATTGACACTCAACACTGATATAGTTTGAAGAGGACGTACTGATTGGTTCCCCGTCTGTCTTATAACTCGGCCAATTTGGTGACCTGTTCACTGGGCCTGATGAAGCTTTTGTGTCAGAATCGAAACGTTGCCCAAATAAAAACTACTGATTATTTACCAAGCTCTTCTGAAACGCTTCTATTAGTCCTTCGGCCATTCGGCCGATTAGAACAGGAAACACCTCAGGACCGTACTAAATCATCCTTTCGCGAGGAATTCGTACAAAAAGCATTCTGATCTTTTCAATCGTGGATAAGTCTAAGGAACTAACATGTTTATTCACTGTTGCCTGCTTTATTGTTCTCCATTTCCGCACCCCATGGCTTTTTTATTGGCTTCTTACAGACCAGCATCAAAACAAATTTGGTACGGACATCCGTCTTTATTGGTTTCCGTCGTTTGTTTTCTTGAACGCTGCGCATTGAGTCAAACAAAAATGAATTGTGGAGCCATCAAAAGAGACTGGACTTTACCACAGCGTAACAAGTTTGCACCTCCATAACCCATTGAGTGATACAAAATTTCTCATACTGAGTTGGTCAGTGAGAGGGGTTTGATCAGCACAGTCTCTTGGTCCTCCAAGTTGGCAATTGGAACATGTGTCGCAACTTGCTTTTAAGACTGTTCTGGCGATATTTCACCAGCCTTGCGGTTAGGTTCTTAGGCCAAAATCCCTTTTCAATCAATGCGAAAAAGTTTTGAACCGATTGAGAAATCATCCTTTCAGAGGGATTTGGTAACGAAGCGTTGCCTAAATAAAAAACTACCGGTTGTTTACAAAGCCCTTCTGAAACAAAGTCTCTTCTGTTTTTACAGTGCTTTGAGTGCTACATTTGGGCAGGCTGAGAGCTCAGTGTAGATAACTGGGACACGAATGTGCAAGTAGGTGGACGTAACGCTTCTGAGACTCAATTGGGTGGTCGCCTGGGATTGATTCTTTCTGGAAAGTGCTGCCCATAATCCTGGAAGGTGTAGGATGGTCTTTTTGTGGAAGGGCTCACTCAACCCAATCAAGCATCGGATCTCGAATCCATTTTCAAGAAGGTACCCGCAGTGGCCTTGACAATCTCAGAGGAATCAGCTTGGTCCCCGTTGTGACCAGGCCTTTCTGCATCGCCTATGAGGGCGCACGAAGACGTGACCCGAGGACAGCAAGTAGGGTTCTGATCGGAGAAGGGTGGTGTGGATCCCCACACTTCGCAAAATGTAAGAGCAGCGAACTGAGTGGACGCGCCCCAAATTCTTCGTGTCCCTCTACTTTAAGGGTGCGTTCGACTCTGTCAGCCGATTCCTTCTTCTCAATACGCTTGTGCAACTGGCTAGGTCCCGGGAGTCCGTAAAAACCACACGCCCTTTGCATTTACATATTTACGGGTGCATAAGAGTAAGGCCTCCCAACAGAGATACTCGCTCCGTCCATTTTAGTTCAATCTCGTCATTGATAATCCGTTGTTCAAAGCTCTCCGGGAGAGAACCTTGTTGACCTACAGCATGCAGATCAAATTTTTATCACCTCTTAAAAGGAGCGGGAAATGAAAGCAATACTAAAGAGACTGATTGAGGCCATCTAATCCCCCGTGACCACAAGATTGCTGATTCATACCCCTTAACTTTCAAGGAGAGACATCGGAAGTTGTAGAACACTATACGTTTTTCGGAATTCGCGTTAGCTCTCACGGTAATATGACCGCGCATGTTTCGAAGCCCAGAATTACTTTGGCCAATGTGCTCCACTTCACGCGCAAAGGCACATCATTGGATTTCAAAAGACATGTGTGTCAAACTACGGTGCGGGCAGTACTATTTCACGGCTGCGGGACTTGACCACGTCAAGAAAATGTGCTTCAACATCTCGAACATCGTCCTTTATACAGTACGTCCAGTTGAAGCGCATCACGCACGAAAGATTCAGCTAGGATGCAGTTGAATCTCGCGTTAAGATCGGGTTAGTTTGCAAATGAGTGTATTTTTCAAAGTGGGAACATAAGGTTGACGAAAACTGGTGAAACGCGCCTATCTGATGAGTCCGAAGAAGAGTGAAATCGGTCGTGGGCCGTCGAGGAGTTTTCAGTAACCTTGGGATTTTTCGAGGCTTTCTTTCTTTCATCCGTGTGGGTCTCCGCATTCAGATGTCGGGTGTTGGTGGAGTACTTCCTCTCCGTTGTTATGGTTTTATACATAACCCTTCTGCAAATTTCAACTAAGTCGATTGATTTCTCATCTCACTCTGTTGGTGGGGATGTCGCCGCTCAAAACAAAATTGCCTTGAGGGCTTGTCCAACAATCAGCTCCGTTGCTGCCTTTTATACAGAATCTACATACATTTCCCCTGGTAACAATGACACTCGTTTTTCACTCTCTTTTTTGGTTGCTGCAACTGACCGTTCGAGATATCAGGTAAGCAGTTCGAGGAAATCTCTGCCATCTTTTGAGCATCCTGCATCCGTGGTCGAATAGTGAACAGTGAGTTAATTTGCCCGATATTTGTGGCCAGATTGGCCCGTCCTTGTCATCTGCCATGCTGTCAATTACGATCCAGCTGGTAGCCCAACTAAAAGGACCCCCTCTTGACCATGCCGTGCCTGCCTGATGGGACACAAGACGCAAATAACTTTAGGAGAAGACTTAATCACGAAAATGCAGAAGTGTACGTCAACTGACTAGTCTCATGAGCACCCCAGTCCTGTGGAACGAATCACTTGACACACACACACCACCCAATGCAGAGCATCTGGCCTTTCACCGTCGCCCGCAAAGGTTGCCTGTTGTCTGTCAGCTTCTCTCCAACCTTTCCTGTTGGGTGTTTCTATGTATAGGTATTTCAGAGTGCACTGGGGCGCCACCGGTTTTTTCCCACCTTTTCTATTTTCACTTTAGGCCTTTAAATGCAACTAAATAAACGTTGCGTTCGTACGGCAGTGAAGCACCAGTGTCAACACTGATGTTATGGTCTCTGATGAGGACAATGTTGACCTTTTGCTGTGCAGCAATAAAGTTCATTTAGCAACATCATTCCCACTGTCTGCGTCTGTTCCATTTTTGGGACCGATCGAGTCCTGTCTTTTAGAACAAGAAAGAAACAGGCTTCAGCTTTGTTACTCACTGACAGCGGGCCGAATGAAGCAACTCTGCGAGATTGGTGCAGCCGGTGGGTGGTATTTTGGATATCTAGTCCATAAAAACTTGACACAAAATCGCAACGTTTTGCTTCTGGAGGTTGCTCCCACCTTCTCACGGTTTTAGGGGTCGCACTCAACCAAACCATCAAAAACACTCGCCTGGCTGGTTGCCTTCGCTCTTTCAAAACACAGCACATCAAATTCCATCCTTTTTGTTCTTACAGGCGATTGCGGCCGTGGAACCGGGCTCTGTATCTATCACTGAACAGGAGCAACCTAAATCCGCTATTCATATTCAACTACGCTTGATACCAACACGTGGTTAAATCGTCGGAGAACACCTCCGCAATATGTCATGCAATTTATAGTATTTTCTGACAGCTTGGAACGTTGTTTTTACCATTAGTTTTCTATATGAATACAAACTAATTCAAAATGGGTCTGTTCTTGTTAATGACGCTTCTCAAACATGAGTGAAAAGGCCTTTTGATCTTGGTTAAGTTGTGGTTGGCATCCCATGAAGTTGGCAATTCCGCCTGTATATGAGTGAAAATGGGCTTTTGTGCCTCTTTTTCTCATTCTTTGGTCGTCTGTAAAGTTTCTGCTGCAGATGTCATCGTTACCCGCACAACTATAAGTCTTCACTTGGACCAATCATCACTAATACTCCTGTGACTTATAGCTATGGCCGTACGAGTTAATTGGACGTAACTGAATCCATACCTGAAATGAGCAGTCATGGGGGAGGAGAGAGCTATACCAGTACGGGCGAGATGTAGATTATTTGGTCCACAATCCCAAGTGCATTTCCGCGAAAACAGCTTGTGGAAGCTTCAGTACGTGGAACGTACTAAGACCCTTGCAGCAATGTCATAACTGCTCACTTCGATTCCAAATAGAAGTTCGGATTTCGGGGTGCGAGCGCTGGTGTACCTCTACATTGGCAAAACTGACAGGAGTGATCGAGAAAGAGGGTTCTTAAGCCATTACACTCGAGAGGTTGACCTTGTTCGCATCCATGATACCTTCACTACTACTGTAAGACTGATTCTGGGAAATCTGACTGCCCAAACCTTGGTCAGTTATTTTTCACCAAACTATGTGCTCTGAAGTCAACCAACCTTTTCTCATTTTCACTTTCCTTTATCAACTTCCTACCGCACTGACCATCTCTTGCTTGCGGTGACTTCATTTCAGCATAAGAGTAGTGGTCCCACCTTGAAGCTCATGTAAGATTACATTCGTCCGTCTAGGAGCGAATGGTTGAACGGTTTATTATTCTGAATTCCGTATCACAGTAGTCCACTAGAGGAAATAAGTTAGGCGGCACGGAACCTTATCTCATCATGGTCTTATTCGTTAAGAATGCAACTCCCTCTCTAGAATCGAAGGGAAGACATCTTAATTCTGACTGACTAATTCTCCAAAATGCTGATTTATTTCACCAATGAAGACCACAATTTGTCGTTGATGCTGGTTTATTCTTGCATTAAAAAGCCGATGCCATAAGCACCGTTGAAGTGACTTTTCACCATTTCTGTAGGATTCTTCCAAATGAATTGGATAAGGCTTGGCCGATAAGTGAGCTCAGTGGTTAAGGCGCCGGCTTCCGGACCAGAAAGTCCGTCGTTCTAACCCAACTTCAGCATCTCGACTGTTCCTGTCTCTGCTTGGGTAACCTGGCAGTATCCCAGCCCTCTTTCCCCCTTCCGTTGGCATGGCAGCTGAACGGTTATCTTTTTATGTGACCGATAAGTTTGTGTGGGTTATGTGCATAGTAGCACGTCTCACAATTGCACTGCTGATTTAAAGTGATGAAGCTGGAACATGAGCGGATGTGACCTCTATGAAAACTCGGTATTCGTCAACTTTGATTATTGTGTTAGTGTAGGTCTTCGTCACAAGTCATCTTGTTTTATGGCGTTGATTTAAGTCTAGGATGATAGCACAAAAATGAAGCATTACTAATGGCGGGGTGATTTCTGCACTTGTCCATGTCGCCCTAGTGTGGGCTGTCGATGGATTTTCAGCAACCTTATGAGTAGTACATTACAAAGATCAGTGTATGATCTTCATTAGCTTGTTAGTTGATTGAGGGTATTCATAGACGCCCGTAGACGAAACTTTACAGTTGTTTTTTCTGAAAGTCAGGAAAGCGACTACGTACTCCCGAGGCGAGCGGTTTTTGGATTTCCAATTGTGATCATTACTGCGGGCGAGATGGCTCAGTGGTTACAGCGCTAATTTGCTGACTGGAAGGTCCGTGGTTCGAACCCGACCTCCGTCTTTCGACTTCCCCTGTCTAGGCTTGGGCAACCTAGCAGTATCCCAGCCCTCGTGCTTCATTCGGGTTGCGTGGCAGATAGGCACCGAAAGGGTGTTCCAGCTAAACGATTACGTTATTATTTTACATTACTGGTTCGTGTGTATGCCTGAGTGGAACTGTATGGCTTACCGATCATTTGCCCCCGAGCTTCACTATCAGTAAGTCGGGTTTTTATTTGGGGGTCGAGGATGTCTCGAGACTAACGGTAGAGTGAAGTGTAGGAGATAACGAAGCCGCTGGATGGAAATGTCAGTAAGGCTTGAGCTTCCTCGGCCTTTCTGTAAGTCAGGAGCGTTTCCAGCGGGGCGGCATCGCCTTAATTGTATACCTTTGATTTTTATTGCCTTCCGTTCCCTTAACAAACACGCCACATGTATTCCCACTTTTCCCCTTGTCACAAGATACATGACTTCCCCAAATTCCAGTCTGACCTATTGGACAGATAAAGAAATTTATCCAAATGGGATATTTCTAACCACATCTGGTTCTGGTGGAGACCGCCTTCTTTTCTGGCAACCTGCACCTCATAGACGAGAAGATGCTTCTAACCCACAGAAGCAACAGTCGACTGCACCGGAAGTCACCGCTTCTCAGACAGAAAATAAAGATGATGGTTCACGGAAGTACGTCTTCACCCATTCCTTTTGTCGCCTTGCGATGTTTGACTTTTAAACCTACCACTTTCCTCCCAGCAAGTAGTTGTTCTTGCTCTACTTATGCTCCCCCCAGTGTCTCTGAACTTCCGACTCCCCTCTGTCTCGTCAGTGTCAAGTAGTTCAACAAAGCCGAGGCAGCGCACAACAAGCAGTAGTCGGATGTTGATGGGCAAGGTTCCAACCTAGCAGGATGGCATCAAGGCTTCACCGTCTGCCACGTGGACTAATACCAGGCGTCCACCTGCGTCTGGTTGATGATCGGGACTTTGCTGACATTGTGAACCTTCATCTTGCAAGACTAGCTGATGTTTACAGTGTTTGAAGCCATACTTTCACTGTAAGTATGCGTATGATGTGGGCTCTTTCCGCTGACTTGCGTAGTTTCTGGAGTTACACCAAGTGGATAAAAAGACGGGTTTCCATAAAGGAAGCTATTCACAAGGTTGCTGAAAACTCTTTGACAGCCCACGACTTGTTACACCCTGCTTAGGGATCATCAGGTAGGCGCAGTCCCCGGATTTCCGTCAACATTATGTTCTACTTGAAACCAAACTGGACTGATTTCGACAAATACACCCATTTGCAAATGAATTCGGCTTTCATGGGAGACTCAGATGAATCTCTCGTTTATGATGTTCTTCAACCGAATGTGCTGCACCAGGCTGTCTCCTGTTTCAGTTGGTACGATATCCGAGATAACAGTTTATTTCGCGTTAAAATCAAATTTCTTTGCCCACCGATATTGTTCCCTTGGGTTCATGTCGGCACCAACTACATACACGCGGTAATGATGGGCTACGCTCCGTGTGGCCTTACAACTACTACCGGAATACAGTGGCCTATCGGTTTCCAGCCAAACCAACGGTTGTGGAACAAGTTTCGCTTCTTGCCTTACATTCGCCCAGTTACATAGTCCAGTGTTGAGTATAGTTATGTTTTCTGGTTCTTTATGCTGACCATGTGAGCTGTTACTTCGTAGCACCATTTTCATCCGCATCTTATTCTAATCCAAGTCCAATCTTGGATGACGGGATCTCTCAGTAGACGCTACTCACTGACCCACCGCTAATCTGTTTTTAAACAGACGTTATTTGGCCACAAGGCGCAGTTGACCGTTGGACGGAAGGCGGTCCCAGCATTCTGAATTGCGTGCACACGCGTACCATATTTCTTGCCATCATCAGTTCAGCAGTTTGATAGCATCATCTACTGCGGTGGGGATTTTCGTATGTCCATGAAGTCTTCTTGTCTTCTTGTATTTCCCACTCGTAGTGAATAAGCTTACGATTAAGGGACATGGCTCTTCACGGGAGAGTCCGCTGATCTTCTATCCATGCTGCGCAGAAAATTCCGGCTCTCGTTTTCACGTCTCAATTCCCGTCATTTTGGACTAAGCCAACCTGACTTCTCGTCGGTTGGAGCTCGTGAATCCTGAGAAGCGTTCATCAAATGGGATTCGGTCAAAGTGTCGGAGATTTCCACTCTCAGGTCTAAACTACACAAGAACTAAAACCACGCACTTATGTTTACGAAGTATAATCGTGACTAACGAAGGTGACCTCGTTTTCAAGTGGCTCCCACCAATGTAGATTTCGGTGCGTTACCGGGTCTCGATATATGTTACTCAGAAAACCGAACGCAAGCCCTCACTCCACCCTCCGATACGTCTTATGTTCCCTTTTCATCATTAAGAGCATACAGTTGTCCTCTCGTTTGTAAGTAAACGAAGACGGAACACCTTTGTTCGTACACCTCTCTTTCATTCCATTACAGAAGCAGTCATTCTGCGGATCTTTGTGCGTTAGCCGAGCAGACATCAAATCGACCGGAATCTGCACATAATCCTTTTGCGCTACATGTATGTTTCGTCATTTGTTTCTTGGCATATTTGATGTCCTCACTGTTTTGTAAATTTCTGACCACCGTTTGTACGTTCTAGTTAATCACAGACCGACCGGCTGCCGGAGATACGACCCTGTCCACCGGAATTGGTGCAAGTGGCGCTACCGGTCTACTGACCGTCAGCACAGGTACTGATCGCGGACTTGGTAACACGCCAAGTGCTACTTCGGGGTTTGTCAGTTCAGGAATGACCTCTGTCAACTCAGCGACCAGTTCGACCCAAGGTGGGACTACGGCTACTACTGGAGTCTCCTATGCACACAATCCTGGGGACTCTGCCCAATCCTCTCTGGTGGATGGCGGTTTGGAACGCAAGTCTCTGATCGGAACTAATGGAATTTCTACCATTGAAGGCTTGCCAGCAAATCTTGTGCTGAGCTTGTTGCACCAGCAGTTTCAAGGACTTCAGAGAAAGATCTATACAAAAGTAAGTTGTCTATTTTCAGAAGGGCTTGTTAAACAATCGGTAGTTTTTATTTGGGCAACGTTTCGCTTTTGACATACAAGCTTCATCAGGCCAAGTGAGCAGGTCACCAAATTGGCCAGGTGGGAACCAGTCAGTAAGCCCTCTTCAGATTATCACACTAGATCGGTGAGTCATTTGTCTCTTGTTTGCGGTTGATTCTGAAGCGATGTAGAATGAGTTAGCCCTTGACACAAAAACATATTTCCTCTCCAACAGCTGGACTACCGTGTCTTTGTGGGTGCGGCATTCAACGTCACTCCGACTCGGGAGGAAACCGGAGAAGCTGCAAGTGCCGGATCACCCTCGAGTCGCCCGGACGCCACACGATCAGGCCGGTCAATGATCAGTTTTGCCGTAGTGTTTTCAATGAACGAGGCCGCTTCACCTTCGGTGCTTTCGTACTACACCGAACTCGCTCGTTTGGTGAGTTCAGTAAACACGGTTGTCCTTTCCTTCACATGGATCGTTCAACAGTGGTATTTTCCTGGAGAGGGTGGCGTAGCTTCTTGAGGAATCTTCAATGAACCAAATAAAAATGATGTCTTCTGGGAGTTAGTCTATTCAGGTAGACTTTAAAATGTACACATATCCCCGGTAATTCTATTTCCCTTAAATATCTGGAAAACAACGGCTGAGTGGCATGCGTCCGTTGACCTATCAAAATGCTGGTAGCTGGTTTAGCTTAGGAGAAATTCATCTTTCCGGCGAATTTCGGTGTTACACGACTGTCCTTTCTATCTGCTTCGAAGGATAATAAAACACCCTTCGGTGGAGCTTTTCTCTTGCAATGGATGACCAGTAAAACCGTATTGTCCAGGCTTTCTGTTGTGACTTGGTGGACGGTAGTGCAACTCTGTATCGGTCCCTTGGCTTCCTGCTCCCCTCACTATGGTATATCAAAAGGCACGGTAACTCTACACAGCCATCTATCGACACAAAGGAAAATTATTACAACTGTATTTATAGGGTAGTCACAGAGTGTTCCACAAGGTCGTGCTAGAAGCACCGTGAGGGGGCGAGAAGCGTCCAGTCAAGGATGCTCGGCTCGGATTGGCTGGCATTCTGAACAATCAGGGAATGCCTTCGTTTGGCCCGTGTCCTGCACGTGACAAATCCGTCCAAATGATGTGATGTTCGGTTAGTAGGGATGGTTGTCCTCCGAACACTTTCTGAACCCGTGCTTGTGGGATTTCCGTTGTTTACAAATGTTTAGAACAGCTTTCATGAATAAAATGTGGAAAATCGGACTAGTGCAAAGTGGTGAACTCACCTAGCAGTCTTTACCGACCGTCATCTGTGCCATTACAAACTGAACCAGAAGACTAGAAGTCTGTCCGGACGGTTTATTTAAGCGGAAACACAAAACGCTAGTAACTGTTCGTCCAATAGTCATCATGAATTGTTATTCTATTCAGTGCTTAAGACGCACACTTACTAACCAGAAGTTCCGTGGTTCGAACACAACTACGGCATCTTGACTGCTCCTATCTAGGCCCGGACAAACCGGCACTATCACAGCTCCCATGCGCCCATCGGGCAGTCTGGCAGGTAAGGGTGTTACATCCAAACGATTTTCATCAAGCCGTGCCGAGAAGTGACATGTATTAACGGTTGGTACTGTATGCTGTCTATCCTCGGCTAAATTATTGGTCGAGCTAGTTCACACCAAGCCGTGCCGAGAAGTGACATGTATTAACGGTTGGTACTGTATGCTGTCTATCCTCGGCTAAATTATTGGTCGAGCCTAGTTCACACCAGTCATAGCTAGCTTGCCGCCATGACGGTAATGGCACTGGACAAGATGTTGAGTACGTAACGTCAAAATCAACAGTTACATCCTTTTCAGTCCTAGGGGTTCGTTTCTTGGTTGCGAAATCATATTTCCTTTTCGTTCACACACATGTTTGACCACCTTATCTTTGCCATTAGCATTGGTTCGACCCACCGGTCCGTTAGAAATCAAGTGGAAAACAGGCACACATGCCACTCAACAAACCGCGGCCAAATATGTGTCCGAGCTAGAAATTTCACCTGAAATGTAGGCTAAGCAACCAAAACACAGATAGGTCTGTGTCCAGCATTAGACTCGTTCGCAGTTTTGTTGAGCCAGTAAGGTAGAACTGTTCAAACTGCATACTTTTTGTCGTCATCGTTTAACCTCAGAAGTACAATTGGTCTTTACCATTTCAGTGACCCATTATTATTTCGACCTACCAGTGAAAAACTTCATAATATTGATTAAATCTCAATCCTGTATGGATCTTCTGTTTGCAGCATTTCGAACTCTGGCTGAACCAATCTGTAAGAATCCGCGAAAGAATAGTTTACCATTTTTCACAGATATGTTCAGTCGGTTGTTACAGCAGTTCACTTGATTGGTCTCATTTTTTTAGTGTCTAACGAAGTATCAGGGATACAATCCTGAACACCGGAAAAACAGCTAATGCGTTGTTTTGCTGCAGAATCATAGAAGCCAGGTCAACGAGTTTGCAGCAATAGAGGAAGATGTCTCTTCCATATTAGATGAGACTAGAAAGTATTCCCATCAATGGGTCATCTGATCTTTTTCACTTTAGACCTGCGGAAATTAGTCGAGACTCAAACACTGGGAAGGGGAATGTATTCTACCTTCGTCTTCGGAAAGCATCCCCATCGTGCGTTCTTAAGGCCGTCTATCGAAACATCGTGATCCAAACCTTGGATATTCCCGCACTGCTGTTCCCCGTTTTTCGGAAACGGTTTAGCTTTCAAAGTTCGTAGCTGCCTCAGCAATGTACAATAGACCGACAGCTGCTGATGTGACTTGTTCGCTCTTAATTGTTATGATTGATGGTCACCGTCATCCAATTTTTCTTATACTCTACTGGTTTGAGACCGGGATTTTCTCAATAAATTATGTATAGGATCTTTCCTTCTATTCTCATGATTTATCTCACCAAATCCGATGAGCCTTTCTTCCGTGAGTGCTCGAACGATGGGTCAGTCCACACTGAGTCACGCGCAATCGATTTGCACTGTCTAACAATGCGTGCTACGGCACCCTTTCCAAATGCAAGGTAATCAACTCGCTGGCCAGTCATCCGTAGTTGAGTTGGGTAATGTTCGAAACTGTGTCTGGGGGACTTCGGTATGAAGCAGCAATACGGTGTGTCTATTGTTTGTTGTGTTTAAACGTTGTATGCAATAGGCCTGTCGATGGTGCCGTTTTTACCTAGCGTGTACTCACAACCTCAATCGGACCGTCATTGCCTTTCAGATTGCCTCACAGATTCGTCGAGCGGAACTCATTTCGGACTACCTGACCAGACAACGCGACTTTATTGTCTCTCTAATGGATCGCAGCTCTCCTGGATTTTGCCCCACTAGCAACTACGCCCATATCGAACCGACCGGCCCGGAGACAGTCACTTCGGATTCACGCGAACAGCCTTTAAGACGTCCTCAAAAGTTAGGTTCGCTCGTGGAAACCAACTCTTCTGCCCCAGGTGGACCAACGGACTGGAAGCGGACTGGCCAGACTTCAGAGAACAACAAAACGGACGGAATCATCGAGGGTAATCGTGTTTGTCGCCAGTCGGTCACTAGCATGAATTCTCCGTTCGACCAACTCGTCGCCATGTCGTCTCTACGCAATGAACTGAAAACAATTATCGACTCCGTTTGTCTATCTGGACATGTATCTGTCATGGTGAGCGAAGAAGACATTGATTGGCTTTCCTATTCGTACGTCGTCCATAGTCTAGTTTACTAGTAGTTTGGTACGAGCTGTCCGCGGGTTCACTTTCCATTCTCCATATCATCGAATCATTCGCATGTTAGCACCCAGTAATTCCGTCATCCTGGAAAATAACTCATCGGGTCTGAGCCAGGCCTTGAAGCGGTCTATGACACATTTTTCAATAATACCAGGACAGTTTATCGTAAATCTGTTGACTGCGTGCAAAGTTCTCGCTGGCAAAGGGTGATTGATGCACAGTTCCCAAAACGTCTTCCGCAGCCCCAAAAAACCATGAATTCTACTGAGCACATTCCTTTTTTTCTGAAATCCGTTTCGCCGTCAACAAATTGGACGCTAGAGAACGCAGCCCCAAAAAACCATGAATTCTACTGAGCACATTCCTTTTTTTCTGAAATCCGTTTCGCCGTCAACAAATTGGACGCTAGAGAAAGGTAACAGAATTCGGTGAACGCGCATTTTTCTTGATATTCAAGAAGATATCAGCACACATCAATTGTATAAACAATTTGGTGACCATAGCCCGTTTTTAACGTTTATTCTTGAGCACAAAATTGCAGCCAGTGACCAGAGGAATCCGTACAAATTTCTGAATTGCTTTTTTGTCTTTCGGATCACCAGCATCTCTAGGTTGCTTAGCACCATGCCTACACATTTCACGGTTATAATTCTCTATGCTGCTGTGTAAACGTCTTTGGCTTTCCCTACAGACCTTGCTCCAGATCCTCTCAACTTCGCCATCCAACCAGCATTTTCCTTTTTTATTTTTCTTTTCAGATTAACAAACTCCATCCTGTGTTCTTCTGCCTGCCTCATAAAGCCTATTCTCTGGCACCGAAGCACTCTGGCGGTCCTATCCCGGCTATCCGACCTGCAGCTGTTTGGCGTGCGATGGACAAGATCCGACCCTATCATACACTTCTATTGCTTCCACGCAAGCAAGATTTATTACAGAAACAACTTCCACAAGAAATCAATGAAGCCATGGTTGAGTGAGTCCAAATGCCCTTGTCCCAAATTCATTGTGCGATAGTCCTCTGTGATCACGAGTGACAGCGGTGCCCTTTTTTGGAACTGTTGTGACTTGTTGAACGGTAGTGCAACTCTGTATCGTTCCCTTGGCTTCCTGCTCCGCCCACTATGGTATATGAAAAGGCACGGTAACTCTACACAGCCCTTTATGGAGACCAAGGAAAATTATTACAACTGTATTTATAGAGTAGTCACAGAGTGTTCCACAAGTTCGAGCCAGAATCTCCGTGGGGGGACGAGAAGCCTCGAGTCAAAGGTGCATGACTCGGATTGGTTGGCATTCTGACCAATCAGGGCATGCCTTCGTTTGGCCCGTGTCCTGCACGTGACGCATCCGTCCAAATGCTATGGTGTTCGGTTATTAGGGACGGCTGGCCTCCGTACAGGAACGAACTTGGAGAAGTCTAATCGGGCGATCAAGGCAGCAGCGCTGAATACCCTTAATTTCATAAGTCGTTTGTGTATGTGTGGGCGCCAGCGATATGGGAAAAGCACGTCGACGAACCGGCTGTGACTGAAACACACGCACACCGGGCGTTCATCGCGCCTTATGGAGACTACCGGGATTTCGTTAATTTGCTGTACCATCTTCGCTGTAACACTCATTTTGAGGTTTTTCTGGTGTACGCCAGTGGAAGGCGGATCAAACTAAGAGTTGAAACACAACATCAATGTCGTGATCGGATCTTGCGTGTACAGTCATTTTTTTAAAGCACGGTGCCTTGTTTCCGCAAACATAATATATCCAGCACTTAAATGTTGGATCCATTAGTCGGACAGAATCCTTATGGATCCATTAGACAGATTGAGCAGTAAGAGGAGATCGCGTCAGTTGTTCTGATCTCACACCACAACGCGTACAGCAAAATGAACCTGTGTAATTGCCAATTTACGCACGTTGCCGGACAATTTTTTTACCGGCAAACTAATTGGATTTGGGAGGGGGACATGACTTATCATAAGACCACTGAGAACAGGAGGGTATTGCCAGGGCAGAAACCCAACAACCAACCTGTTGTCGCTTTTTTATATCACCTCGGTTGTAGGAATTACGTAAGTCTCAGTACCTGTATTCCACTGTGAAACCGTACAATTTTCCTTCCCAGATGCTTACTCGCTTGACCCTTACTGACACATTCAAAAACTTACTTGTGCATTAGTGACAAATTGGTCTTTAGTCAGTGAGATCGCGTGGTGCCGCTTTTGTGCCGGCTCACCTGCGTTGCTGATCCTTCGTCTGTTCGCTATTATTATTATTATTTATTATTACCGATCCACTTATGAGTTTTATGGTATATTTCCCGAGGCTGAAGACTTGTCCTTCGTATTCGGTGCAGCATTGATGTTGTTCAAGAAAATATGCGCAACACATGCTGTCTCAGTATTCTGTTGTGAAATTGTTCAGAAAATTATCCTTGATTTTGACTTGTGTTGTCCGGGCCTGTGAAAGTCCGCAGATAACTTGTTTAGAGGTTATCAGGTAGGCGAATTTCTCAAAGCTTGGGATATTCAGTCCCCGTAAGAAGACATTTTTACCGTCACATGTAATTTTGGGAGCTACTCTTAGCATTTTCAACTACATCTCGTTCAGCCTGTGTGCTGCATATCAGAGACTTCGTTGGAGTTCCCAGCTCCAAGGAATATTTCATACAAGCAGATCCAAAGCTATACTTACGCCCGAATCGCTGTTTTCTCGTACTCTAGGAGCCGCGCCTACCCGGTAGGCCCCAAAATCGGTATCTGCTGATTTCAGGCTATCGTCCTTCATGCTTACAAGTAGTTTTTGCATTAGTTTCGCTCATACCACCTGCTTCACCGCAGACCACAAATCACACAACTATGTTTCCGATTCAGATTTATCAACGACCTGTCACCGAGCGTCAGTCTCAGCGAGTTGGCTCTTCGAACTCATTCCCAAATGCATTGTCTTACACTGGCCTTGTGGCTCATCTATCAGGGCCATGCAATCATCGTCTATCCTATTGTTGCCAACAACACCTATGTCTTGTCGCCGCACTACGCCGCTTGGTTTTCTGCTCCGCTTGTTGCACAATTTGCGACCATGTTTCCAACTGTCAACTTGGCCAAGGTAGGCAGAATATCTTTGTCGATTTTTTTGCTTTACGCCGAGGGTAGTAACGGTCTTGAGCGGAAGGCAATAAAGTCATTTCATGATAGTCGTTGAATAATGAAACTTTATCCGTCTTTGGGCTAGAAGATATCATATTTGGACGTTAAACTGGTATTTTTCCTCCTCTTGGCAGGAATATTGATGGTACTCACTGTGAATATACTGCCTAATCGGTCGCATTCACATTCAAACCAATGTGCGATATTCATTTGGAGCAAACGGCGCTTATCATATAACTATATGCACTGTTGCAACCAATCCGACCAGCTCGTATATGACTTATCGAATCTTTTGGCTTGTGAAATTGGAGTACGACCAGCTGCTCATACTGTGGAGTCAAATGCCACTCACATTTCGTTGTTTTGGCGTACTTACTACTAGTTTTGCATTCCATAAGGTTTCCAGTGCATCACTGAAGATGGCTCACTGGTTAAGGCGTGGAATTGCCGACCGGAAGGTCCGTGGTTTGAACCCAACTCCGGCATCTGAACTACTCCTGTCTAGAATTGGGCAAACTGACAGTCTTACTCCTCCTGCTTCCTTCGGACGACTTAGCAGCTAAGCACCGATAGTATGTCAAAGCTGAACGATTAAAAAACTCCTGTCTCAATTACGCACTATACATACTTTTGACTGGTTTTGACGTTGCGATTGTTGCCACTTCAAGTCGTGTATTTTAGTGGAATGCGTTTTTTGACCACAATGCCGGTTCCTGCCGATCCTTTCGACCCAGTTCAGCAACTCTTGGAACTGCTGGTTTTGAGTTTGTGATCAGTTTCCTCAGCACGTCTCACTTGAAATGAGGTAAAGACAACTACCACCCAGTGCAAACCTAAGACCCGTAACGTCATACAACATTCGTCACCATCAGTGGGTTGTCCGTGTGTTTGCACTTTTCATCCTTCTGCAAGCATGCTCATGCATCTCCTTCATCTTCAAAAGCGGAGTTTCTTCTTATGTAGCAGTATCTTCAAGACTGGTTCCAATGTCCGGTTACTTTTTGATGAGTATTCCGTGGGCTCCGACTCGACTGGCTATCGTGGTCGCGGTGAACAGTATGGCCTATATTCTTCTCTGCGGCGTCGTCATTCGGTTCTCAGATGAGTATCCTTGACGCCTGCAAGTGGCTAACTTGAATCCCCTTCTGTTTCACTGGCGGTGGCTTTAAGTGGGCTGCTCTTTCATGAGGTTGGAAGCAGCGTGCAAACTCTGCGGAACAGACACATTCATTTATTCAAGTTAATAAGGCCTATCTATGGAGTATAGCTGATGTTGTCCTTTTTCCTTTGTTACAGTTGCTTGCTTCATTCTCCACTGGTCTGACTTTAAAAGAACATTTGGAGGACAGCAAAACCGAGAACGGTACCAAGTCTAACGGAAGACACCCAGTCCCATCAAACACAGTGAACCACCCGGACTCCTTCTGGACAGGGTTGTCTTATAACGTTAAGGTTGAATTGATTTCTTGGCTTCTCCGACGTAGACTAATCATACAAGTTAGTTGACAGTTTTTCTAACCTCATCATATGTCGTGTAGTCCGTTTTTCCGAAAGCAAGCTAGGCCAGTAAGTAGATTTCGACTTGAAAAAAACGAACACTTCTACACGTCAGAGGTTGCTTTTTATTTGAAACACAAAGATTAATGAGGACTAGGCAGTCGTATTGTTTTATTTGTCTCCATCCAGGGGTTCGATCTACTGCAAACTCACTTCAGTAGACAGTTCACAATCTGTGCTAAAGCCTTGCCTTTCTAAGTCGCCTGGGAATTTCTCTTAGTTCAAGAACCCTGAACCTACATGAAACATAGCAGTGCTAGGCTGCAACGAGACCTTTTGTACTTTTGTGTACCGACATCCTTTCCTGAGTCCAGTGATGGGCACTCGTAAAGAACAGTTAAATTATCGGTTCCGCAGCAAAAAACAACTGCCCCGTCTTCTGAATTTCGCATGACCAAGTTACGGCAACCCCTTCCAACAAGTCCTTCAAGATCGTTTGTTTCATTCCATTTAAATTATCGGTTCCACAGCAAAAGACAACTGCTCCGTCTTCTGAATTTCAAATGACCAAGTTACGGCAACCCCTTCCAACAAGTCCTTCAAGATCGTTTGTTTCATTCCATCCTGGATGTATGTTGCAGCATGTTGGGGTGGATCTCGATAAATCCCACTGGCGTGACCTTTTCAAAATAACTGTTCATTAGTCAGCCAGAAATTCGATCGCGTCCCTACTTTTCAGCTGTACGGTAATCCCCTCCAAAAGACGATAAAGAGATCATTTTGCTATCTACTCTGTACTGGGTCCGAACTCAGTATCTGAGGTTGCTAAAAATTTGTTTTCAAAAATGCTTCTTTAAAAGCAGTTCAATGTTCCCCGACGCCATTTCTCAAGTTTGACTTTGTACGAGATTTCCATAGCTTTGAATAGAAGTAATGTCTTTTGCTTCAAAGCGAACATCTCGATTACCCGACGAACTGGATAGTTTCTGTTCACGTTGCATTTGGATTTCACTTGTTTGCGTTCTCATTATGTCATTGCATCTGTCTGAAAAAACCACCCGAGAAATGCTCGCTTCCCTAGTGTGCGACCGGATCCTGGCTTAGCTGTTTACTGTCACCGATGAAATAGGTGATCAACAGTGCGGCTTAACCAAGAACGGACTTTGCACCCTTATAACAGTCGGTTTTGTTCGCGTGGTGCGCGTTTGCCATCCGTATTCCGATTGGCCACCTCTGAGTCCCGCCACGTACTGGAAAGTCAGATTGTGCTGTGCGCTCGCATTTGTTTAGCCGTTTCCAATGTTCTCCGTCGGTTGAGCTGCAGTCAAAAAGTTTGCCTCATAATATATCCTAAACACGAGCCAGCATTTATTCGATTCCCAAGCTCTCTTGACATTTATGGTCCCGACATTTCCCTCTTGATCCGCCCCGTACGCCTTTTGTGGACGATCATTCCCGCAGCTGCTGTTGAACAGTCCCAGAGGTCCGTTTTCAACGGTATACTTGCCAACGCAAAGTTCTTTTGTCTTTCCGGATGCGGCATCGCACAGACCTCGGCCACATGGTAACAAACTAGAGGTGCGCGAAAAATCTGACAGGAAACTGTCGTCCGATGCAGGACGCCAGAGACGTAGAATTACAAAGGAAGATATTGGGCTCGTTGTTATTCACTGCAACACGATGAAAGGCTCACGAGCTATCAAGGTTTTAGTTCTCAGTCTTAGGCCACTATTCAGCCAGCTTAAAAAGCTTTGAAACATTTTGGCTTGTGTAGCTTAGCTCAAGTCGCTCAAGATCGCCCGGTAGCCCTTGAAACATGAATGTTTCCGATTGCTTTATTGATGGTCAGATTCGTTGTCTTTTTTCAAAAAACTCAAATCGTAAGTTCAGATGTATGAGAACTTTTAGACATCTGGCGGGGTATCCCATTGTGGACTTCCCTGGAGAGGGCTGCACTGGACTATGGATGCACCTTTCACTAACCGAAACAAAGGTCTACAGTTGCACTCCAATCCCGCATACGTAATCTGTGATCTTGGATTTAAACACCCAGTTATAAATTGATGCAGTATGAGCATCGAATGAGTACACTTCGTGCCAATTGACGCTAGAGTTATGTTCAGCTAATACACTTATTCGACCAGTATCCAGATTCCTAAACAACGCCTCCGAGAGCGTATACATCACAGAAGCAAAGCAATGGAGTCGATCGACGAAAACGACAATACCACACTCAACTCACCCATTCAGTCAAGGACCATACTGGAAGTTGAACAAGCTCCTGCGATTTTCGCTCGTCATACTCAAAGACCTCTGTTATTCGTGCAATGTGGACCGATTCTGTCCCCAGTAGGATGAGCTGCCACAAGTGTCCGGTACAACCCAGCCCTTAGGTTGATATGCATCGGTCAACTAAACAACTCTCACCAGTAGCACACATCTGCTGGTCCTCCGCAGCTAGCATTCGTAAACAGAGCATGCTAATTACGTAAGCACGGTTGGAAAAACATTTTATAGTGAGAAACGGATGTCCGTTGTCCCTATTTTTTGCCCTTTGGTAATTTCTTTGCTCACTGAAATATTATATCCCTAAGAACTTCTGACTTGCAAAAACCATTTCTTTCAAAAGGGAATTCGTTCATTGAGAGGTTTTTGCGTCCTGTCTCGGTTACCGATTATTGCTGAAATCCACTCGAACTTATTATGGCCAGGTTTGCACTTATTGGTTGTAGAACGCTGTACCGATAACACATCTCTTAGGCTCGTCCCTTCGGTCCGCAGACGCGTAGGTCCAGCCAGTGGTTTCATTTTCCCCGTAAACTTGTGTATGGTACATGAACAAGGACCTTAAGCCCTTTCTTTCTTTGTGATTGCATTTCAGGTACATATCTACGTTTTCTTGACTCTGACACCGGAAACCTTGAAAAAGGTTAAAGTCTCCGATGCGGTTCACCAAACCAATGGGAGCACACCGAACGAGCACTTCCGTTACTCACAAGAAAGCCCGTTAAACAGCGATACGATGATTCCTGTAAATGATTCGCCACCCGGTCCTACGTGCACATCTTTTCCCACAATATCTGAACAAGAATCGCACCAATGCAAACTTCCACCAGATGTACTTTCCAAACTTTATAAACTCTTCCCCACGGATTTTCACCAGGCGGTCGTTGAGACCTTGCTCAAACACCCTGGGGCCACCCAGAATATTGCCTTGTTACAGCTGTTCGCACTCATACTCCCCCATCTCCCGGCGCATTTGGAGGAACTGATGTTTCATTTGGGTGTCTCACGAACCACTCTGATTGAGTGTGTCGAGCGTTTTTCACCAATCCTTTGCACGGTTAGACTGCCGGACCCCGTAACCGCCTGTTTTTCTGGAGTAGATTGGCCTGATTGACCCCCTTCACTGAGTACTTTAACCTGTGATTTGTACAGCAGTGCTAATAACACTCACTTTTATCCAATACCTTATAGACTGACTCACAGTCCATCAGGTTGTTTTGTGGGGAATCTTTTTCACATCACTTACCGCGTTCAGCTGTAACACCCTTTCGGCGCCTTGCTGCCATGCAGCCCGAATGAAGCACGAGGGATGGGATACTGCCAGATTGTCCAAGCCTAGACAGGGGAAGTCGAAAGGCAGAGGTCAGGTTCGAATCACGGACCTTCCGGTCAGTAAATTTGCGTGCTAACCACTGAGCCATCTCGCTCCCCACTGAGCACTTCCTTTGAATTCAGCATCTTAAGTTGTTCCTTCAGGTGGACCGTTTCTGCTCAGCTTTGTAACCACTCTGACGATGAACAAATCTACACCAGCGCGTTACCTGAATGGCTCAAAGCACTGCGCTGACGTCTTTATGCCAGTGTCGAAGCCGTATAGGATCCATACTACATCAACATTTCGTCTTTCTAGCTTTCTGATGCTGGTTTTTTTGAACATCCAACGAACGTACGATTCAAACGTTGCAGCTGGTGGACAGGTTCAGTCGCGTAATTGTGACATACAATGAGCATCTTCGCATCGCGTGTGAAACCCACAAGGCGGGACTACTGTACGTTCATACTTATGAATTAAGAATAGTCTCACGTCATTCATTGCCTTTTCGCTGTTAGGTTATTCAGTCAAACTTTAACTGAATATCCTAATAGTGCCTCTATGTAAGTTTCGCTGTCATGGAAAAGAATCACGCGACGAACTCATCCGTTGATGAGTAGTATAGCGCGATACGGTCGCGAAATTAGTTTTCTATACGTAAACAAAGCGCTTACCTAGCACAGATAAGCGGAGGCCAGCGATACCCATCTTCATAAAGTAATTGGCAACTGACGAATTTAGTTAGCGGTCATCAATAGGATCACCTGAACGTTTTCGAAAGAGTCCAATTTGTACTCGACTGACTCTCTAGTCATGTTGATACGTTCAATTGTACATTTCTGAAGTGCCGCTGCATCACTTGGGGCAGAGGGAGTTTTCTGGTGGCTCAGGATAACAAAATGATTGATAAACAATGTTTGCATGCGGCAGATGCCGTTCGGAGCTTATAAAAATAGCAGCTAGGGGATCTTGGCGGTAGTAAGGGATCGGTGTTGTACTGTTGGGTTTGAGTAGTTGGTTTGTACACTTACCCCATCTTTCGTACTGGCGACTATGAACAGCAGATCGTGATTTATCATGAGAAAAACTGAGCCGTTCTGGTCAGCAAATTAGAAAATCCGCGCAGCGTGGTACTCACTTAGCTGCCACATAACTCAAAAGAAACACTAGGGCTGGGATATTGCCAATTTTCCAAGGCCTGTACAAACATCACTCTGGAGGTTGTGAAGCTTCGTGATTAGATCCTGTAAGTGAAGTCAATACATGCTGTTCAGAAATGAACCTCACAGGTCAACTGTGCTTTTCGTTCCGTGACGTGAACCGCCCGATTATTCAGGTACAGGTTCGTTCGGTGCTTATTTGCCATGACACCCGGAGGATAATACCGATTTGGCCAAGTCTAGACAGGAGTATTCGANGAACCGCTCGATTATTCAGGTACAGGTTCGTTCGGTGCTTATTTGCCATGACACCCGGAGGATAATACCGATTTGGCCAAGTCTAGACAGGAGTATTCGAGATGCAGAGATCGGGTTCGAACCACAGACCTTCCAGTCTTTAGTTCGCGCATTAACCACTCAGCCATCTCAGGCTCTGATCAGCAATCCTAGACGAAGGTTATGGGTCCAACTACTAACCTGAAGGTCGCGAGCACGAATCGTCCTGGAGGCCTACGAAATGTACACTGCTGATGGTTACGTACATCGATAAAACAGTCGTCCTCTGTTCGCAGGCCGATCTCGCAAATGGAATTTTAGTCGTGAGAGAAAACACTTGCTAATAGCAGACCACACAAGCAACGCAGACCTGTCCCGGGGACCGGAAACCTAGCAACCGAGAACGGACTAGAATAAATGACTCATCATACGGACCACTAGTGTAGCTAGAGAACAGACCGGATCAATATACGGGCGAAGCTGTCTGGACCCATCGGGCGCCTCATGGGCAGCTTTCAAACATGGATCATTTAGTCAGCGGCTTGTGTCTTACGGTATGAAAAGTGCGCCAGAATGCCCAGCTCAGCTGTTCTTTTGTCATCAGAATGCAATCTGTAACGTATCCATTGAAAGGCAAGGCAAGAAGATATGAGACGATTACAAAGTTACTCTTTGTTCACAAGACAACTGTGAATGAGGACATAAGAAAAACGATATGCATGGTACAGCCGAATGAGATTGTTGCGATTGGATGGCAACAGCTCGGAGTTTATGCTTACAGTGGTTTTATGATCTTAGATGAAATGATGCAGATCAGCCAATCTATAGTTGTGATACGAAGGACACAACCACCAAGGTGAAAGCAACTGCCTTCTAAAGAACGCAGGGCTTCAGGCAGTCAGCCTGATCTGGCTTGAACAAGCTGTGGAATTACAAGGGTCAATAAGTCACGTGATGCCAAGCACTCCCAACTTGTTCCCGGATCAGACGTGCACTAGTGAGAAAATAAACGAACCACGGCAAGACTCCGAACTTGCGGCGCCATGCCATTTGAATACGAACCCACTGGGAGCGGAAATAATAAGGAAAAATTCTTATCAAATCATAGAAACCGTTAAAACCGGCTGAAGACTTTGCTAGCAAAAAATGAGCAAACAAGATGGACAGAAAAATAATCTAGCCCTCAAACTGCTCACTCGTCCCGTCGGGAGTGAAGGCAATACACCGGATTGGGAACGACGTACTAATGGCCTATGTACAAAAATTTCTGTGAGTGTCAAATGCACGAATGCACGTGTATCATTGAGGAACAGCCTTGCTGACTATGTCCTGTACCTAGAGCTCTTCGGTTTTCATGCTGTTGACCGCTTGGAGACTTTTGATATACGGACTTCTCAACTATGCTCTCTGGGGACAAATCGGCATGATCAGGCTTGGGGACAGGTATTTCTTCGGGCTGCGTGGCAGATCGTGCTCTTTTGAGTGCTGTTATCGTATCTAGACACGCTTGAATCGCTCGGCAGTTCTGGATGACCTCGGGTGGATCTGCATCGCCGTCTAGCTTGGCCGTCAATTGTTGAACAGTACTCAACACTTTGACCAGTATTCCATTCTGGATCTGAGTGGATAGAAAATAGTCATCGGTGGGTAGGGGAGTAGTGCGGGCAACGGTTCCGCGAGGAATCCTTTGAGGGGAATGTCTGTTATTTTCAGAATTAATCCATAGTTCGTTGCTTTGTTGATTAATCACTGTTGTCCGGGGATAACGGCAACAACAAGTTGTACTGGCTTCACAGTCTGAGGGGGATTCAAAAACGAACAAGTTGAGTAGTGACAAACAGGTTCAAATCGACGAATATCGAGGTTCTTAGTCTTTCTGGCCGTTGATTCCTAACACAACAACCAGTTTTTTCTGCTTCTACCGCAGCAGATAACGCATACAAGTGCGTTAATCCACTAACTTACGGTTATCGTCAAAATGTGCTCCTGGTGAGAGGGCACCCCTCACTTGGACTTGCTGGTAATCGGAACCGCAGGAGTTCTGTTCAAAGGCCTATCAAAAACGGATAGCAAACCTTCACATTTCTGGACTACACTTCACCCCTTACTGTGTAATGGCACATTTGGAGCAAAAAACAATGCTGACGTGAGTTTTTATTGCTGTGTACTGAAAGCGGTGGTGCAACTTCTTTGTCAGTCCTTGGGTTTCTCCTCAGTCCACTACGATTTATCAATAGGTACGGTAGATTGAGACAACCCTTCGTGAAGACAAACGAACGTTCCACAAGGTCGTGCTAGAATCTCCGTGAGGGAGTGAGAAGTGACGAGCTATAAGGCTCGATCCTGAGTATTTGACATTCTGACCGATCACGGTGTGAATCCGTTTAGTCAGTGGCCCACACGTAACGCATCCGTACGATCGATGTTCTGTTATTAAGAGTGGCTGGCCTCTGGAGAGTTATTGGATCGTAGTGGTCTTTTGAAGACTGGCAGAAGTGTACGAAATTACTAAAGTAAGTCTATGGATAGCTACTCAACATAACCTGGATAGGTAATCACATACAGAAGCCCTCTTAGATAGTGTCGACTTGCTAACGCCAGATGACCTTGGAAGTAAAAAGTGGTCTACCCCATTATCTACAGGCGTCCAAAACATGGACTGAAGAGTCATTGAAGGACCCCTTAGCACGGGAACCCCCAAACAGCCATTGCCAGTACGGTACTTCACCTAAACCTCTGTAACTTCTTTTGGTCTGAAGCTGGGCACCCATATTTTTGTGACTTTGTACAAAATTTGGTTTTACATCTCAATCGGTTGAGCGATGTGATTTTGTGCTGCGTGCAGCAGCTTCACCACTATGTCATGAAATCCAACGAACTAGAGTTGATTCACCAACTCCTGATTGCAGCCCATTCACTCCGGCTAGGTTCTTGCATGACCAGCCCCATGTTACGTACGTTATACGGAAGCAAGTGTATCCATCCGTCACACGCTAGTCCATCTCCCCGCAACCGTGATCTGCTGGGTTTCAGTTAGTGAGATAAGGTGCGCATAACTTATCGTGAGATGTCTAATACCTGGACTAGCTATCCAGGCACCCAACGCGACCCTGGCTTCAGCGGACCGACGACATATCGTTTGTGGATGAGGAAGTCCAAACTAACTTTGTGGCTATGTTTGAGCGATGGAATTAGAAACCCAACAGAAACGCAATTGGCTATTGATGTAACGAACAATCGGATTGCTGTGAAGGTTAAAAACACTATGTATATGCCAGATTGATCCGGTTTATTCGGAACCAGAGTGGGTGATGAACAAATAGTGGGACTTCAAAGGTAATAAGATGTTCGTCAATAGTCAAATGGAAGTCTGAAAAATAAACAGTTAAGTAGCTAGCTGATTTTGGAACTAAACATGTATTCGCATCACCAA